TCTCTCTCTCTCTCTCTCTCTGCCCCTCCCCTGCTCATTCAAACTGTCTCTCTCTCTCTCTCTCAAAATAAATATATAAACTTAAAACAACTTTTTTTGCAGTCTACTTACACAACTTCTAAGTTATCATACAACTTCTTATGTAGAAATCTTGCAGTTAGGGGCGCCTGGGTGGCGCAGTCGGTTAAGCGTCCGACTTCAGCCAGGTCACGATCTCGCGGTCCGGGAGTTCGAGCCCCGAGTCGGGCTCTGGGCTGATGGCTCAGAGCCTGGAGCCTGTTTCCGATTCTGTGTCTCCCTCTCTCTCTGCCCCTCCCCCGTTCATGCTCTGTCTCTCTCTGTCCCAAAAGTAAATAAACGTTGAAAAAAAAAATTAAAAAAAAAAAAAAAAAAAAAAAAGAAATCTTGCAGTTAAATTGATTCATTTATTTGTCATTCTTTGTGCTATAGTTGCTTTACATATAAATATATTTATGCCACAAACAAATGTTTTAAAGTCCCCAAGACCATGTTACCAATTTTTGCTAAAAACAATCATACGTTTTAAAGAAATTAACAGAAAAAAATGTCTTTTATAATTATCTAGATATTTACCATTTCCAATGTTCTTCATTCTTTCCTGGAGAGATTTGAGTTTCCATCCGAATTTATTTGCCTCAGCCTGAAACACTTTTTTAAATTCACAATGCAGGTCTGTGGGTGGTAAATTCTGTTAGTTTTCTTTGATTTCTAAATGTCTTTATTTTGCCTTCATCCTTTTTTTAAACGTATTTATTGAGGTATAATTTACATACCATACCCTTCACGCATTTTAAGTGGATAATTAAGTGATTTCTGGTGGATTTACAGGGTTGCAACAGAGATTTTTATGATCTGCCAGTCAAAAATTCTCTCTGGCCCTGGAAAAGTTTGTTGATCCCTGTTGGCCCCTGCTCTCTCGGCTGTCAACAGCGCCAGCCTGTTTTCAGAATACATTTTTCACATCCTTTATGAAGGGTGGTAAATAGGTCCAGTAACTTAAAAGAGCCACCATCTCCAAGTACCTAATTTGGGACAACTAGCGCAGCTCCGGAAACCTTCCCATCAAGTGGCCCGGCTCATTGTGTCCCCTGCTCGTGTTCTCATCGCGACTTTGAAACTGACCCTTGAGAAGGACAGGAGCTCCTGGTTACACGGCCTCAACAAAACACGAGAGGAAGAAGATCTTGTCTGTAGAGTTCACGGTGTTCCAGGCCACAAACACCTGGCCTAATTTTATTGAACGTGATTGGGAAAAAGTACCCAACATAATGAGAAAAACCATTAAAAAAAAAAAAAAAAAAAACCACTATTTTGCAAGAGTTCAGTGCCACAAATTGATAGTAGCTTGAAAATCCATTCTTTCGTTATAATACAGCTCCTTGTCTTGGTGTGGCAAATGAGACATATTAATTTTACAGCCTTCAGGTACAGAAAAGTCAATACCATCTAGACAATTTCTGGTTCAGTTGTTTGAGCACACAGTTACCTCAAGGCATCACAGTAAATGGTTTCATTTTAAGCCAGCTATGCAAAATAGCAATATTATGGTTTTTTTTTTTTAATTAAAAAATTTTTTGGGGGGCTCCTGGGTGGCGCAGTCGGTTGGGCGTCCGACTTCAGCCAGGTCACGATCTCGCGGTCCGTGAGTTCGAGCCCCGCGTCGGGCTCTGGGCTGACGGCTCAGAGCCTGGAGCCTGTTTCTGATTCTGTGTCTCCCTCTCTCTCTGCCCCTCCCCCGTTCGTGCTCTGTCTCTCTCTGTCCCAAAAATAAATAAACGTTGAAAAAAAAATTTTTTTTTAATGTTTATTTTTTTGAGAGAGAAAGAGAGACAGAACATGAGCAGGGGAGGGACAGAGAGAGACACACACAGAATCTGAAGCAGGCTCCAGGCTCTGAGCTGTCAGCACAGAGCCCGACACGGGGCTTAAACCCACAAATCACGAGATCATGACCTGAGCCGAAGTCGATCACTGAACTGACTGAGCCACCCAGGCGCTCCAACATTATGTTATTTTGACCTGACAAGATCAGCTCAGATCAGATATAAATTTTCAACTAAATTCAAAAATAAGTTCCAAAACTAAAAAAGAAAAGTATGGAGCCAGTTTTCTATGGTAAGTGAAAAAGAAGAGTAGTAAAAGGTAATTATCGCCTTCTATCTTTCCCCTTCTGACCGTTACCTAAACAAGAGTACAGCCCTCAGGCAGAAAGCACATGTTCCTTTTCATTCAAAACATACTCAGCTTTCTTTCAGTTGCGAAAAGAATATCAGTTGGATTAAAGATACTGTTCTTAGGCTCTCTTTAACTCACTCATCAACTTTCTGGCTTATTTTATTTTATTTTGGCAAATGTACAAATTATTTGGATATACTGAAAGCGCGTATTAAAAATTCATAATGATGAAAACAGTTTTTTTCATGATTTTCCAACTGGAGGCTTAATGGCGTATACTTAATGGTTCAAGATTACGGAGCTATCTTTTGTCCTACGTCGTTTGAGAAGATAAAGTTGAAGCACCTAAAGCAAAACAAAGTACTATATAGTATTCCTTATGTCTGGAAGCTTTAAAAAAAAAAAGTCAAACTCACAGAAACAGAGAGGATAAAAGCGGTGGTCAGGATGGAGGAAAGGAGGGATTGAAGTTGGTAAAAGGGTGCGAACTTTCAGCTGTCAGTTGAGTAAGGTCTGAGGATCTAATGTAAAACACAGTGGCTACACTTCATAACACTGTATTGTATCATTAAGTTTGTTAAGAGAGTTGAATTGAAATGTTCTTACCAAGAAAGGAAAAAAAGAGGTAAATACGTGAAGTGAGGGTGTGTTAATTAGATACTAGGAATCCTTCCACAATGTGTAGGTGTATCATATCACCATGATGTGCACTTTAAATATCTTACTATGTTGTCAATTAGGCCTCAATAGACCTAAAAACAAACAAACAAAAAAAAATAATGTGAAAACTATAATGTTTAATGCTTCTAGCTTATGAATAGTTCCACTTGACTGCCTTAAAGCCTAGCTTTTTACTCACGTAACATCTTCCAGGGAGCCTGGGTGGCTGAGTTGGTTAAGTGTCCAACTCTTGATCTGGGATCAGGTCACGATCTCATGGTTTGTGGAATCAAGCCCCGTGTTAGGCTCTGTGTTGTCAGCTTGGGATTCTCTCTCTCTCTCTTCTTCCTCTCTCTGTCTCTCAAAATAAGTAAATACACTTTAAAAAAATCTTTACACTTGGGCATTTGCTTGAATGTTTCTTTTTGATATTTATCTTACACATGGTGGCACCCAGTAAATGTTTTTTAATCACTTAATGATGAATCAAATAACCCTTTTCTTTTAAAAAATGTAATTTTGCTTATTCTTTATTTAAAATCAATTTAAGTTAAAGAGCAGTGGCAGTTCATTTAGTAGAACTATAAGAGAAAGAGAAACACAGATTTAAAACTCCTATTTTCAATAGAGGAAGCCATTTGACTGAAACACATTTTAATTTGTGCATGATCTTCATGGGGGGGGTGGTCTTTAGAGTAAGAATGCCAAAAAATCCACAATAGAGCCATGTGGGTTCAGATCAAAAACCACATTCTTAAATGGGGTCCTCAGGAAAGGACGTGGCCTAGGAGCTGGATTTTTATCTTGCTTAGGAATTCTTGGCATCTGTGCTCATGTGTTTTGTTTCTTAAATTCCAAATATGAGTGAAATCGTATGGTATTTGTCTTTGTCCGACTTACTTGGCTTAGCTCGTTATTCTCTAGTTCCATCCACATCGTTGCAAATGGCAAGATTTCATTCTTTTCTATGGCTAATGTTCCGTTTGTGTGTGTATGTATACACACACATACACACACACACACACACACACACACACACACACCTCATTTTCTTTATCCACTCATCCATTGATGGACATTTGGGCTCTCTCCACACTTTGGCTATTGTTGAGAGTGCTGCTATAAACATTGGGGTGCATATGTCCTTTCAAATCAGTATTTTTGTATCCTTTGGGTAAATACCGAGTAGTGCAGTTGCTGGATCATAGGGTAGTTCTATTTGTAACTTATTGAGGAACTTCCATACTGTTTTCCAGAGTGGCTGCACCAGTTTGCATTCCCACCAACAATGTAAAGAGGGTTCGCCTTTCTCCGCATCCTTGCCGACATCTAGTGTGGCCTGAGTTATTAATGTTAGCCGTTCTGACTGGCGTGAGGTGATACCTCATTGTAGTTTTGATTTGTATTTCCCTGACGATGAGTGATGTTGAGCTTGTTTTTCACGTGTCTGTTAGCCATCTGGATGTCTTCTTTGGAAAAGTGTCTATTCAGGTCTTCTGCCCATTTTTTAAACCGGATTATTTGTTTTTTGCATGTTCAGTTTTATAAGTTCTTTATAGATATTGGATACTAACACTTTGTCAAATATGTCATTTGCAAATATCTTCTCTCATTCTGAAGGCTGCCATTCAGTTCTGTTGATTGTTTCCTTTGCTGTGCCAAAGCTTTTTATCTTGATGAAATCCCAGTAGTTTATTTTTGCTTGTGTTTCCCTTGCCTCAGGAATTTAAAAGATAAAAAAAGATGAACATAGGTGAAAGAGAGAGAAAGAGAGAGAGAGGCAAACCAGGAAACAGACCCTTACCTAGAGAGAACAGACTGAGGGTAACTGGAGGGGAAGTGGGCAGGGGATGGGTTAAATGGGTGATGGGGATTAAGGAGGGCACTTGTTGTGGTGAGCACTGTGTTTTCTATGTAAGTGATGAATCACTAAATTCTACACTTGAGACTAATGTTACACTGTTAACAAACTGGAATTTAAATAAAAACTTGAAACAAAAAAAGAAATTAAAAATTAAAAATTAACAAAAAGAAGTCTGGGCATTGGTGTGGAATCAGTGTTCTTCCATGATCTTCCCTGGGCCCCTCTGCCTGGCTCTGTTATCTTGCTGACTACATTTCACTGTAACCATGTACTTTGCTTCCCACTAGATGGTTCAGGCAAGACCTGTGGGTTTTTGTTTGTTTGTTTGTTTGTTTGTTT